TGTGGATATGAGTGAAAGCTTAGCTCTTCCACACACAGGATTGTGTTTGCCTCATAAAGCTCTGTGAAGGTAAATACACTTCTGTTTATTATCAGATCTTAAGTGGGAAATGCCTCTGGAGGGTACTGATATAGAATTTGTTACATAAAGATGCTGTGTTTTCTTAAGTAAGAGATCCATTTAAAATTAAATAAAGATAACTAGAAATCCTTTGGCATACTGCTATCTAAAACATTTATTTGTGTTCCACTAAATATTTTAATCCCTTTTCATCAAGCTATTTTTTGAGCCTTAAGATAAAATAGAGCTTCTTAATACTTGTACACTGAATAATATAAAATATTTAGGTTCTCAACAATCATTGGTTATTCCACATTTTCTTTATTTTTCTACCATTATGATCTTTAGAAGCCAAATGTCAACATAATCTTGTTTATCTATTCTGAGGTAAAAGATGCAGCCTTAAGTGACTTCAGATTTCAGGTGAGAGTCTGCATGGAATGATAAACACACATTTCTGTCTGTCTATAGGCCTCTATAATTACCTTTCTAAATGTTTCCAACATATGTAAAATTGCATTTGAAATTAAAAATAAAGATCCAGAGAGCAAAAATTTATGCGTGTATCCTATGACACTTATGGTTTGAATAAGAATGACCCCCCAATGGGCTCATACATTTGAATGCTTAGTCATCAGGAAGTGGCACTATTTAGAAAGATTAGGAGGTGTGGCCTTGTTGGGGTAGGCATGGTTTTGTTGAAGGCTTTGTGGTTTAAGAAGTCTAAGCCAGGAACACTGGCTCTCTGTCTTAGTCAGTGTTCTATTGTTGTGAGGAGACATCATGACCACTGAAGCTCTTATAAAGAAAAGTATTTAATTGGGGCTTGCTTACAGTTTCAGAGATTTAGTCCATTATAAACATGGCAGAAAGCACTCAGGCAGACATGGTGCTGATGAAGTAACTTGAAAATTCTACATCTGGATCAGCAGGCATCAAGAAGAGAGACAGAGCCACTGGGCCTGGCTTGGGATTCTGAAACCCAAATCCACCCACAGTGACACACTTCCTCCAGCAAGGCCATACTTTATAATCCCTCTCAAGTAGTGCCACTCCCTAATGTCCACATATTCAAATATATGTGCCTATGGGAACCATTCCTATTCAAAGGACCATACTCTCTCTTTGCTTTTTTAGGAAAGCATTTAAGTACTTTAAGTGGGGCTTAATGAGCCAAATTAGTAGGAACATGGAAGATAGCAGTGCTGAGAGGATGTAGATTATCACAGCCTAGCTCAAGAATTTTCAGAGAGGAAAAATATTAATAAGTGTTCTAGAGACTATTCTTGTGGTATTTGGTGAAGAATGTGGCTCCATTCTGCTCTTGTCCAAGAAAAGCTGCCTAAGGCTAAATTGAAAAGTTTTGGGTTAATAGCATTGGCAGAGGAGAATTCAAGACACCCTACTATTAATTATGTTGTGTGGTCATTAGCGGTCATTCTAATGCAGACCTATAGTGATAAGGAGCATGCTGGACAAAGAAAAATACAAAATGTACAGTTTGAAGAGAAATGAGTATCAAGAAGTGTAATGGATCTATGTCCAGTGCTCAAGGAGATTAAATGTTTAAAGAAAAACTAGATGCTAAATGGAATAAAGGGAGTGGTGATCTCAGGGCAAGATACCACACAGCTAAGCTTCTAACTTGTGAAAAGGAATTAAAGAAAAGTTTAAACAATGAAGAAAATGATCCACAACAGAAAACTGATACATATGTAATTTAATAAGGGAGCCATATTTTAGTCACAGCAAACAGTAGAACTTGTCAGCTTCAACCTTATGGTTGTTCTGGCTATAGAGTCAAGGATACAAAAAAGGGGTTATAGAATCTCCTTCTACATCCAAGGAAAGCTGCTGAGGCCACATGTGTGTCAGGAGTGTCCCTGTATGGAGGCCTATAGAGGCCATTTCATGAAGCTGTGAGGATGAAGCCTGGATTGCCTTGGAGACCCAAGATTTTAGAGATGTCATAGTCATGACATACCTGCATAGAAAATCTGCAAAACAGGTATGGAATCAGTCCAAGAGAGAAGTGTATTTCCATCTACAAAGCTAAATAGAGTTGGAGATTGAAGAGCACATTGACATCAGACATGAAGAAGCAGTTTGAAGTTTGTCCTGCTGGTTTTAGATCTTGCTTTGGTCCAATATTTTTCTACTATGCTATCTTTCTTCCCTGTTGGAATTGTAATGTATATTCTGAGCCATTGTATGTTGAAAGTATGTGATATGTGATCTGCTTTGTAATTTTGATGTTAGAGTGGGTTACATGGATTACCATGAGTATCATAGACTTTGAACTTTGGACTTTTAAAAAGTGTTCAGATTGTTATGGTCTATGTGGACTTTTGAAGTTTGGACTAAATGAATTTTTGCATTTTGATATGGTTATAAGTTTATGGGTACCAGGGGGTGGAATGTGGTTGAATAAGAATTGTAGATGAATTTCTAAACAGTCTTATTAAATAAGAAACGCAAAGCCAAATACAGAGGTGCAAGCCATAGAGATCAGATCAATAGCTGCCAACTAACCTTAGCTTACCACTTCGCTGTAGCTTCCCAAGAGAGCCTCTTACTGTCTAACCTGTGCCTTTATTACCTTCCTTTTCTGCCTTCTGATTGGCTCTAAGCCCAGCCACATCACTTCCTTCTCACTGCCTGTCTATACAGACCTCCAGGTCTCTATGGTTGGTACTGGGATTAAAGGCATGTGTCACCACACTTGGCTGTCTCCTTGAACATATAGAGACTATACCTGCCATGTGATTGGATTAAGGGCATGTGCTACCACTGCCTGACTTCTGTTTATGGCCATGACCTCTGATCTCCAGGCAAACTTCACTTATTAACATACAAATAAAATATCACATTTCAGCACAAATAAAATATCACCACAAATAATGACCCCATAAACTCATATATTTGAATGCTTAGTCATCAAGTAATGGAAGTACTTAGGATAGGAAGTGTGACCTTTTTGGGGTAGGTATGGCCTTGTTGGAAAACATATGTCACTGGTGGTCTTTGAGGTTTAAGAATGCTAAGTCAACAATTCTCGCTCATATAAACCCTCTTATTTCTCACTAATTAGACTCCCAGTGCTCCACCAGGGGCCCAGCCATGGATGTCTGCATCCAGATTCCTCAGTCCTTGGATGGGGTTTATGGCACAACTAACAGGGTGTCTGGCCATCCCATCACCAGAGTAGGTCAGTTCCTGCCGTCTCTCGACCATTGCCAGCAGTCTTTTGCGGGGG